TCATGCACTTCGTGTGACAGTGATTCGAGAATCCAATTAAAAAGTTTAGTATAGACGCAGTCGTTCCTACTTAATCCGATCACAGTTTAATGCAATCCTCTGCTTATTGCAGTCAGCGCCTTTGGAGCTAAATCAATTGTATGTCTCTGTTTCCACGTTTTCCTCTGTAATTTGATCACCTTCAGCTGTTTTTTTTTTTTTTAAATAGCTCAATTGGGAAATCTGGCAACATCTTTTAAGTATTGCCCCATAACGTAAAGCCAGCAAAGACACTTCACAATGGCCAGCTTTAAAACTGACATGACAGAAGCAAAAAGTTACTTGTCTAAAATGGAAGCACAATAGGATATGGCAGAGTTGAAGAGGAAAGGTTCTTGCGAAGAATCTTGACTCAACATGAGCTCATCAAATACTGCTGATTGCTTCTCTGTGCAATCATTCCAACTCACTTGAAGGTTGTAAATATAGCAGTGCTGCTGTTGACATCATGGACACCAGTCTCCCGGTCAAAATGATAGAAATTATATTCATGCATTTCTCTGAAGCTAAAAGTACTCTTCGTGATGAAGATAACTCTTATTTGCTTTGCAAGGGTATCACACTGAGGTTCCCATATGGCACTTACCTCGTGGGTGGTCATGGCGTATTGCTGAAGGGAAGGCCGAGAAGGCCAATGATGCAAAAATAGCCCCTTTTATTCTATTGGAATTTGAGTAATTCCAAATATGTACATGACTATTACAAAGTTTAGAGTAGACTCAGATGGTTAATTCTGCAAATTGAATGATTTCTGACTGTCCATAATGGAATAAGAGGATTACTTTGGTCTGTGCAAACACGAGTGAGATTGACAAGCTGCAAGTCCTAGTGACTGCAAATTACCCATTTCACATTGCTTTCGGAGCCGAGGTACCTGATGTCTGCAGCTCTAGTAGAGGTCACTCAAGGGAGAAGAAAAAATGTAAATTGATATCAATAACCATTTTGAAAAATATGCCAAGAGGCATATGCCACAGTTCCTCTTTGATATGCCGATTGTATCTGGGAGAACAGCATGAGCTGCCCTAGTGAGCGGAGGCTGTGGAGTCCTGAACATGGTCTAGGTGGTACTTTTCAGGAAAGCTTTAGAAGTAGAGTAGGGCTGTGTCCTGTCCCTCCTTTATTAAAGTCAGCTAAGTCAAATTCCTCCCTATACTCATTGCAGAGTCCAAGGGCTGTGCACCCAAGTATTTTATTTTGTCCCACTCCACAGGGGAACATTGAACAGCTTTACTAGGCATATACCTAACTTTGAGGATGTGTGTGTGGTGTGTGTGTGTGTGTCTGTGTGTGTGTGTGAGAGAGATACCAGAATATGCCTCACTGAGGAGAAGGGAGGGAGTGTCTGAGTTTGGAGGAGGGAAATGGAACCCATAATGTGATTCCCATCAGCATCTAGACCTTTAATCCATACAAATGAAATGCTCCAATTTAATAGAATTCTAAAAGTAAAACAAATGCTTTGTTCTTAGTGAATCTGTCATTCAGAGCTGCTCTTGGCAGCACATCAACTGTACTTGAAATGTCTTTAAGTGGGTATTTTTTTATTGTGCTTTTCGTCTTAACATATCTTTGAGTTGGTAGAGGAATAGGAAGGCTGAACTCCTTTCAGCATGTCAGGTCTGTGCAGCTCCCCCCCCCCCCCCCCCCCCCCCCCCCCCTCCCTGAAGTCCCCATTTGCTTACTTAGCCATGAAGAGCTTACCTTACTTAGTAAGTATTTTGGCCATAGTGCAATAGAGTTTACAGACTAAGAAGCAACAGAGCGAATTAATATGAGTTAGCGGTAGAGAGGAAAGAAATACACCATAAGGAGGTGTTTGTAATAAAATGTATCACAATCGCTACCAAAGTGGAACTATTGTTTTGGGGAAATCAGGTGCCAGAAAAGCACCACAAAGTGTGGAAGTGAAGAAATAATACTTAGTATTTATTGAGCATTTACTATGTTCTAGGCACTGTGCTATGAGTTTTTCGTATAATACTTTTCTAAACCTTAGCACATCCATCTCTATGAGCTATAAAGAGGAAATTGAGGTCTAGATGGGTTGTTACACAGTAAGTGGCTCAAACCATGGTCTATCTGACCTCATGATCTTTTGCTGTTTTGGTGGATTCTTTGTGGTCTTTTTAGATGTGCACCAAAATATTAAATTTTTTTTATCGAAAGTATTTGCATAACTCTTCTTATAGTTCTTAACATTTTCATGTGACTGTGTAGAATTTCAAATCGTTTATTGGTTTTGAATTTTTATTTAAGCCTATTCAGAGTATTTCTATCATTGGAAACTATGCAAAAACTTCGGGAAGACTTCTTCAGTAGTTGAGATACATATTTTGGGGGTCTGATGGTGTACATGAGAGAAATGAATCCTTGTTTACTGTCTATTTATCACCATGAAGTCTCTGTGCTGAAATGTTGCATTAAGAGTGTGTTTTAAAAATTATGTGGCCATATGTTCAGGGGTGCAGGGTTTTTGTTTTCAGTCTAGGTCCTGTTGGGAAGGGACTGAATGGATATACTAGTACCCATTTGACACAGGAGATACCCAAGCAAGGGAGCTCTACCTCCTGTCAGAGCCCATCTTGCTCACTGTCACATGCATGTGATCTCAGGGCAGGTGGTTCATGGGACTCACCGTCCAGGAGGGTCTTTTCCAACAGAGACATACTGTTGGGCTGCTGGTTATTAATAGTCACTGAGGACAACAGTCCTTTCTGAGTTGCATCTTTATCTTCTTCCTCTTCCAAATGTGTGAAATATTATGCAGTTGCCATTGGAACATACCAGAATGTCTCTTGACTCTTGCCCTCTAGGAACTTAGAACCCCTAGGAAAGATTAGACATTATCACTTGAAAAATAAGGTTGGAGATAGTTTCTGGTCCCCGCCCTACTTCCCTCAGGAACTGGCCCTGGTGTCTTCTTCATGAGCACAGCAACTTAGTCCTTCTGTTTATTGATGTCTCCCCAGGGCCTCCACAGAGTCACTCACTCAGTAAACATGTGTTGAAGGAATGAATGGGGTTAGCAGTTGGGAAGGGCTTCAGAGGCAAGTAGGATTTAAGACAGTTCTTCATTAGAGGAGTTCTATAGGAATGTGTTGGAGGAGGAAGAGAGGAAAGTATGAGGTTAGTTTGGGGAGAACTATTTTGGGTAAAGTGAGGGGCTGATGAACGAAAATTTTCAGATACTGTCAGAAAAATAGGTGGGAACCACATTTTGGAGGGCATTGAATTTCTGATCTGAGAGTGCAATGACTCTGTGTTGTGTGTTTTCCTTGGGAGATGATTAGAGTAGTAAAGCAGACCAGTCATATGATTTAACTTCCCAAGCCCGGAAGACAAATTGCATGCCCACCTTCTAAATTTTTGTTGCTAACATAGGATAATTTTTTTTTAACTTGCACTGAGTAGATGCACTATTTGATATAAAGTCATTGTAACTTGCTGACATATACCAGCACACTGTAGTTTGTGGCAGTGATATTATTGAACCTGTTTTAGCTGATTTCTATCCCTTGTCACTTGAGGGACTCCTTGCCTGAATTATCCTTTTGCCTTTGCCTGATCTCTCTGTAGAAGAACAAATAGGGAAAAGGAAGAGAAGATAAATGAATCTTTGCTGATCCCTGGAAATCTACCAATCGCTTTAACATATCTAACTTTATTAGTTTATTACATTTAATATACCTATCTTAATCCAAAGAGTATTAAAAATGCATGTACATTTTTTAGAAAGGTGAACCCATTAGAAAAAAAGGAAAAATAAAATTAGGAAAATGAAAGAAGCCAGTGAGGTTTGTTGCACAAAATGCCTGCCCTGAGGACTTGTCCACTTGTTAGAGGTGGTTACAAATCAGATTTGGGGCTCAGGGCTTTTTGACTTCCAGGGCAACGGGGGAAACATGATGGGTTATATGATTCACGGTGTCTGTGAGAGAAAAAGAAATCAATTACCCAGGAGCAGCCCAACTAGTTCTAGAACCTGAAAGGAAATTCTCCCACGAGTCCTCATAAAGAAGGCTATGAAACATTTTATTTTGGCTGCCAGTGGGAAAGGTTGATATCCTCTTAATGAAAACTGAGGAGTCAGTCAGGATTCTCTGCTGCCTGGAGCGGGCTGAGGTGATAGCTGTCATCTTCAGTCACTAAATACCTCATACCACATACCTTTGTAAAGAACTCTCCAAGACATACTCTTTATCCTCTTCACATCACAGTCTGCAGTGATTATGTTTAATTAATATTTGTTCACTGTTTCTTCTTGGAAATAGATTGTAATCTCCGGAAGGGCAGGGACTCTAGGCATCTTACTCATTCTTTCATTTCCAGATAACACAAAACCTGGTATGTACTAGGAGCTTAATAGATATTTATTGAAGATGAAGTGGAAATAACTGATGGTAAAATGTACCCTAATGTAACTGAATCAGTTAGCCTATTAAAAGGGATTTTTAACTACTTAGTAGCCTAGTTTCACTGGTTTGCTAGCTATAAAAATATTAGGAATGTTTGCCACAATGATTGATCTTGGAACAGCTGACCTTCTTCTTGCCAATAATCCAATAGCATCAGATGGTCAGTTGTCTGTTGAATTCACCCTAGACAGAAAATCCTTTAGAGTCGATTTTATAATCCATACCTCACCAATGAGGACACAAAAGCTCAGAGAAGTTGAATTATGGATTTATTTTCTACTTATAAAAATAATCAAAAATGTGTTTTAAAATCAAAACATTTTCATGAGCATATCATAATTTGGCTGTATACAGCTACCTCTGTATACATTAGTTAAATGTTAGGCATTTCTAAAATAATCAAAGTGTTCGTGGCGACCAGTTATATGGCTAACTTTTGCTTGCTTCCTTTTCAAATATGGATTACTGCCTTTCCTGGTGAGAGAACACATGTAGCCATTTCCTGTGGTGGCAGATTAAGGGCTGTGTCCTCTCACCCTACAGGGACACGGAATACAAAGGGTTGCAGCTCTCCCTGGATCAGATCTCAGTCTCTAAACCAGCCTTCTCCTACACCAGCAGCTCCACTCCTACCATGACTGACAACAGGAAGGGGGCCAAGTCCAGGCTTTCCAGCTCAAAATCAAAATCCAGAACTTCCCCGTATCCTCAGGTAGGTGCACTGCATTTTGCAACTTTCTTGTGTGTGTGTGTGTGTGTGTGTGTGTGAGAGAGAGAGAGAGAGAGAGAGAGAGAGAGAGAGAGAGAGAGACTTGGTTTGGACTCAAAGTTGAGGAAATATTAAAACAGTTTGGAATTCATTATCTGGTTGTAATAAATTTAAAACTTCTATGTATCTGGAAAGCTTTCTAAAACTATCTTCATCCTGCTCTTCTCCTTTTAAAATAACTATGCTAGTAAAAATTTGAAATGATCTTGTGGTTTGATGCTTTTATACGAAGATGGTGAGAGTCTCAGTTGCAGTTGGAGCCGTAACTTTGTTTTTTCAAAGAAATTGATCCTGACCAAAAAGATGTAGCCAGCATAGCAAAATATGGAAAACAAGAGCTTAACATAGTAAAACTGATTCTTAGGACAGGAACTGAAGTAGAAGGAAATGAAGAGGCAGAGGCAAAGAATCAAGGATGCATCTCGTCATGAGATTTGTGCACAGGAGGACTATCTGGGGAAGGAGGGAAATAGAATCTACCAGATGGGAGGAATGATAGGAAAAGCAACTCTCTTCTCATCTTTACAAGGTGGTGAGCTGATGAGACCCAGAGGAGATATTCCAGAAATACTGCAAGGCACAAGGACGAGTCTGTATTCTAGGAAGGAAAAAATTATTTTTCTGATCAGTCACTGAGATACAGAAACTAGACTGTGCCAAGATATGTGCACAGCTCTCTCCGGGCCTGAAAGAAGTAGGACAGAACTGGGGATTCTCTACTCCTAGGATCTTGGGACCATCTTACCTCTATCCTTTTCCTTATAGCACCACATCACTAGAGTAACCCAGGAGATGATTCCTAGGCTTATATAAAGCCAGACTGGATTTGGAGTTATTTTGTCTAAGTGGTCTTTATCATTTATGTTTTAAATATATTTTTTAGAGTAAAACTGGCCATCTACTAGTTACAGAAACTGTTATTTCCTTACTTCTCAGAGCTATATTACTCTGTTGATTTCTACAAATGTATATACTGTTTGAAGAAATGTCATTTATTGAACCAGTGCTTACTAAGAAGCTACTATTTGCTAGATTATTTTAGCAGCTTGGTATATAAAGATGAGAAGATCATGGCCCCCACAAGAGACTTATGTCACACAATTTAAAATCTCCCACAGAAGGCTAGATCTCTTTACTCTGACAAAAGAGAGGGAGTTGATACGTGATGTCTAGACAGTTTTCAGTGTCCACCCTCTGTTATGAGGTCTGATCACTTTACTTAAAAAGTACATTTTAGTTAAAGCCACTGTGGAAGAGGAGTTGCTTCTTTTTATTGAACATCTGAGAAGCTTTTCTTATTATAATCTTGTACCTTGGGAAAAAAATTTTACTCTCTCTTTTTATTACTTGGAAGGATCAATTATGCCTTCGGGTAATTTTATCCTTAAATATACAGGAATGTTTAACACATAGATGAAAGAAGAATTTAAATTAGGAAATACTCAGTTAAGAAGGAATCTATCTGTTGTTATGCAGAAATTAAGCCACAAAATATCTCCCCACTGGACTTCTAAAAACTCACTAATTCTGTATTCTTTCATGCATAGCTCTAACATCTAAAATTTCTGTTAGTTTGCTCTAATGGTAGACTACTCATTTTTAAAAAATATTTATTTATTTATTTATTTATTTATTTATTTATTTATTTATTTATTTGAGAGAGAGAGAGCATGCATGAGTGGGGGGAAAGCAGAGGGAGAGAGAATCTTAAGAAGGCTCCATGGCCAGCATGGAGCCCAATGTGGGACTCGATCTCATGACCCTGAGATCATGACTTGAGCTGAAATCACAAATTGGACATTTAACCAACTGAACCACCCAGGCGCCCCTAGATGACTCATTTTTTAAAAAATGTTGTAACTGTCATTAGACTGCTCTTTGTGCATGTGGTCATACACAAAGGAGGAGGACTTAATTTGAAAGTTATACATGTTCCCTAGTTTATTTTATTTTTTAAAAGATTTTATTTATTTGAGAGACAGAGAGGAAGGGAGGGAGGGAGAGCACATGCAGGAGCAGAGGCGAGAGGCAGACGGAGAGGGACAAGCAGGCTCCCCACTGAGCAGGGAGCCCAAGGAGGGGCTCAATCCCAGGACCCTGGGATCATGACCTGAGCTGAAGGCAGATGCTTAACCAACTGAGCCACTCAGGCACCCCACATGTTCCCTAGTTTAAAAAAAATACAGAAGATTATCTACCTTGGACTGGCTGTTTCTGCCTTTGGTAACTCCTATATATAAATTCTCCAACCTACCAATGTTGACCCATAGGTAGGGACATCTCTATGCACCTATTTAGCAGGAAGAAGTTACAGAAGATAAGACCTTCCATCCTCAACAACTTTCATGATTTAAGGGTCAAAATTGTTCAGGGGGGCAGGATGTGGAGAACAAAGGCAAGAAAAGAAATGTAGATAAAATTAAATTTCCTTATAACCTGCAGCCTATCGACAAGTACTTGAGGCTGGTAGAGTAGACATTCCTCTAGGAAACTCCCATCTTAATGTTAATGCTTTGCTAGAGGGAAAAACAACCTTCCTTGACAATAGCAAGGCCTCCAGGATCCCTCGCATATTCTTTAGCCTATGAAAGTTCTTTTGGAAACTTCCCTTTTTCTTTACCTTCCTCAACTCCAAAGTATATAATCAATTGCTCCGCACTACTCCAGTGCTGCCCTTTCTGCCCATGGGTCCTGTCCCCCATGCTATAATAAAAACACCTTTTGCACCAGGAAAAAATTATAATACAGAAGAGTGGAAAGTAGAAAAAACACCTCTATTCCCTTATTTTCCCTCTCTAAAATTGTGCTTTCTTCTAGAAATATTCTAGGATGTATAAAAATCATGCACATGCAAACACGTATGTCCATATAAGATTTCTCTTGATGTTTGTGTGTTCATTTTTGTGCTTAGTACTTACATATATGTAGTCCTTAAAATTTTGGCTATATGTCTCATTTGAAATCACACAGTCATGAATTAAGTTTCCTTAATGTTTATGTGCCTAGTAAAGGTTATTCTTCAATTGTGTTTACTTTAGACAATCATAGTGCTAGGTCAATCATTGACTGAGTTCCTACTATATGGGCTACTAATATGTAGAGATCAGAAATGGAACATACTGCCTTTGCTTTCAAGGAGCTACTCCTATAGACAGATGAGGGAACAGGCATTTATCGTGAATTGTCATGGGGTGAGCAGAAGGCCCTCTGGGGGCAGGCACATTGGCAAAGCATGAAATCCAGGGCAAACTCATCACTGTACCTTCTGGAAGAAAGCAACTTGGTAGCATCATCTTGGATTCCAAATCTTTAGAAGTGTTAAAGAAAAAAAATTAGCTACTCAGAAGTCTCATTTGTTTCAAATTGTCCTTGTATTATGAAAGGATACTTAACCTTTAATTTTCATGCATCATTGCTATTATGTGTCTTTGACTCAGTAGATGCTAGCTGAGCACCTCCATTGGAAAGATGCTGGCCGTTGTGGTGAATGAGGGTAGGGGTTGGGTGAAAGGTGCTAGAATATTAAAAAGTGGTATAAGAAATGTCCTTAAGTTTTACAGCACAGCTGAAATGATAATTTACACATTAGAATCGGTAGTGTATAGGAAAGAGATGGTGTACACAAAGGGCTTTATGAGTGGTGTCAGTTGCAGGGACTGTGGCTTGGATGACTGGAGGAGACATTGTGCCTGACCTGGCTTTGAGAGTAGGATTCAGGCACACAGGCATAAGAGAAAGGAGAGGACACTTCAGGAAGACCAAGATTATGAAGAAATGCAGGGATGCATTGTTACTGGAACTGGAGTGAAGTGGGGGAGAGTTTGTCCCTGTGGATGAGGACTAGGGATGATATGTTGGGAAGCATTGACTGGTACCAAATATCTGCCAGGCCAAGGAATTTAGAGTTTGTTTTGTGAAGAGCCAGTAAAGGCTTTTGAACAGGGAATGAAAACATAAGGTGGTTGAAGCAAGGCAGACTCCTCATGTGAATAGTCCTGGCGTGCATCTGTGAAGGTCTGAACTAAAGTTCTCTATGGAAGTAAAAGGCCTTATAGAGGAAGAATGGATGAAATCCTTTTTGTCCTTGGCTGCTTGCACCAATTCTCCTTACAGAGTAATTTGATCACTTAAAGATTTATCTTGAAATTATACTTTAAAGCTTATTTTTTGTAGTTAATGACAAACTCATACTGAATTTTCCTTCATAGGTTAATAGATCCATAATATATGCATTTTTGGTTCCTAAATGATCAAGCTTTTGCATTTAATTTTAAATACTTCTGCCCCTTTTCTCAAAAATAAAAAGAAAATCTTGTCTGTTATTTCCATGGTTACATGCTTTTAGCGTGCAAATTCTTCTCATTAGAATTTTCAAGAGGCAGTTTCCAGAGCAAAGCTGAACTCACAGGGTACTGTCTTGCTCCTCTTGTTAGTTATGTAAATGGAGATTTAATGATTCTATCAATGTTATTTATTAGGCTCCTTGCTCTATGATGTGTTGGGCATATCTAGAAATTTCTCAAAGATGTCTGCTGAATGGCAAATAGTAACGCTGCTTTTTGGAATTATTTAGGCGCCCTTCTTTGAACATGTGAGACATGCACAAATTGTAATTTGCTGTCACACCCAGTTTGCAGTAATAGATGAACCTTCAGGTCCCCTCCTGATATGAGATGCTCTTGGGAATGATTTTAGACTTGATTATATTATAGCCACTTAATGAATGACTCAATCACCTTTGTACCTCTATGTATTACTCAGGACAAGAAAGGTCAAAACAGAATTGTTTTTGAATGGTTTTGGAAAAATTGTCATAGGCACTATTATAGTTGATTTCCAAAGACTCTGCACAGAGCTACTGCGCTTTTCTGTACAGTGGCAAAACTGTTAGGGCCTGGGGATACATTATGACAGTTGTATTTTATTGTTACTGGGTTTATAGT